ATTGCTATGAAGCACTCTGCATTGAAAGCTTTAGTACTTGTATGTTGCATTTAATGCTAGCTTAGCTCAACAAAGTTATGTGAATTGAAATAATTTTAATAAGTTATTCATTAAATAATACATTAAATAATAGTTCCCGCTGCCCTTTGAAGTTCATTTGGCAGTGAAATTTGCCAACGATTTGTATGTGATTTTTAATAACGGCTTCTATTCATTCTATTCATAATAATAATGGTTTTGATTTGAAAGTATTTGCAAATATGATGCTTATATGCTGGCTACTTACTCAAAATTGATTTACAAACTGAATTTTTGTTTTAACATCCTTCCGATTGCATTTTTTTTCAGCTTAAATTTTAAATGTTTATTTTATTTATTTAGTTATTTTAAAATTTTTTTTATTTTATTTTATTTATTAATTTTTTATTTATTTTATTAATTTTATTCTTTTATTTATTTTTATTTTTATTTATTTTATTTATTACTATTTATTTTATTCATTTTATTTATTTTTATTTATTTAATCTATTTTATTTATTTTATTTTATTTTATTTGTTTCATTTATTTTTATTAATTTTATTTATTTCTATTTATTTTTTTAATTTTATTTTCTTTTATTTTTTTATTTGTTTTATTATTATTTTATTTATGTTTATTTATTTTATTCATTTTATTTATTTTTATTTATTTTATTTATTACAAATTTATTTATATTGATATTATTATTAGTTTATTTACTTATTATTAATTTTACTTTCAACATTAAACATTTTTATTTATCTTTATAATTATATATATCTTTTAGGTACTTAATATATTTTGCCTATTAAACTAAGTCTTTGGTTAATATTATGTTTAAGGTAACGTTAATTTAGATATATTTTTCTAAGTGTGCTTGAATCTAGAGTGTGTTTCGCTGCTAATTGCTTTTAGTTATTCCGGTAACTAATTTAATTGACGTTTATTTTTATTTAAAGTAAATGTTGGTCCTGAGTATTTCAATTAATTCATCTCTACGCCGTTTTATAATTTATTTAAATTGTGTTTTGCAAATGCTGCAAAATTGTTGCCAACTACTTGTATATTTTCTTAAATGGTGCGCATAAAGTTTTCATTTAAACTGTTGCAACTTCTTGACAAAACAATCCAGGTACTATGTGTGTATAAAGTCTAAAACTATTAAAACTTTGTGCCAAGGGCTGGGTAAGAAAGCATAAGCAGCTCCTCTTTCTTTTGCCGGGGAAATCGATAAGCTTATCTTTAGCCAACAGCTTAGCGAGTTTTTCCTTTGTGAGTTGATGGTTCCCTGCGATTTCATTTCGCGAAAACGGCAACAGCCAGCAACTCGCGTCCTCGCACTCCAAACAACAAGCATCAGCATCGAAAGCTATGTAGTATGATACGAAAGGATAATGGCGGGACTGGACCAGATTTGCCTTTGTTTTAATTTCATTAAGACAGCAACACCAACAGCAACAATGTGCGAGCATAGCACTTACTAATTGCAATCAAGACAACTTCAACTTGTTGCTATTGAGATGCCGCTGCTGTTGTTGTTGTTGTTGTTGTTGTTTGTTGTTGTTTGTTGCTGCTGCCAGCCAGTGTTGCATTTCATCTGATGCGCATCAAAGCGCCGGCGAGAACTTGCAACACACAACAACAACAACAACAATAACACCAACAGCAACGTGTTTCCACTTTCTCATGGCTAATTGGAGAGTTGACTGACTGAATGAATGACTCATTGAATGCATGTTTGGCTTGAGAGCGTGTCGATGGTAATGATGGCGTTTGGTCCGACAGACAGACAAATTAATTGCCTTACCTGCCACTTCTATTAATGCCGGAAAGTGAAGTCGAGCTTATTGATGACTTTTGTTTACAGAAATATAAGTTAATACAAGTATATGTGCCTAAATATTACGTAATTGAATTAAAAACAATCCTCTTGGCTGTGAAATTAGCCAATTCAAAATGCTTGATGAGTTTTTGATTTGGCTTAACTTCAATTAGAACTGTTTAATATGAGGTGTGTTCCAGAAGTAAGGTGACTTGTCATTTTTCAGGAAAAATATTAATTTATTCATCAACATTTATATTGTCCCCTTCAAAGCAATCGCCCTTAGATATAATGCCAGCGCTTCTTCTAAACCTTGAAGTACTTTTGAAATTCGCTTCCAGGCACTTCAAATGGTCAGCAGCTAGTTCTTCGATTCGATTCTTCATATGTGTAGCAACATAACAAAAAAATTCTATAATTAAATAATTAATATTTACTTTTTTTTAAGTTAAGGCGCGATTTTTTTTCCGGAAAAATATTTATTTATTCATCAACATTTATATTGTCCCTTTCAAAGCAATCCACCTTAGTTATAATACCAGCGCCTTAAACTAGTTCTTCGATTCGATTCTTTATATGTGTACGAACATTACAAAATAAAATTATAATTAAATAATTAAAAAGTCACCTTACTTTTTGAACACACCACGTATATAAAGAATACAGATTTTAACGTCAAATTTAAAATGGATTTGCTAAACGCCAGTGCAAGGCAATTATATTTATGCATTCTTTTGATTTATTATTATTATTATTTTAAACTTAATTTGTTAGGTAAGTTCATCAACTTCCCTAAAATATAGGAGCTTTACATAATCGAGAGGGGGAGAGAGAATCTTTATTATTATCTTCATTAGTTACTGTTCCAGCAACTGAATGAACTGTTTGAAATCGCAGACCAGCAAGAGATTTCAAATGTAGGAAGACAATCAATAACAGATTCGAAAGCTAAGATTCATTGTAAAGTTAAGTGAAACAACTGACTGACTTAATAATTTACAATAAAAATTCAACTTTAATGTTAAATCTTGCACTTTAACTCTTGTGTTGTAAAGATGAAGATTGAACATTAAAGTAAACTTACAATCATCAACTCCTTCTTTTATTCAATTTTATATTTTAAGAATTAACCAACTGGAACATATTTATATTTATATCGATAGATAATTGCTAATATAACGGCCGACAAAATGTATTGCTGATACACTTTAGTTTTTCTTAAGCAGCTTCAACTTAGTCAGAAAAATTGGAGTTCTTAGATATATAATTATGAACCAGTCAATCAGAAATCATATTCCAAATACAAATAGTATTAATGGGAAATAACAATCCAGGTTGAGGCCTATTTGCAATATGATGAGTTGAATGATGCTCCTATTTTTTGTGCATAGTATTACATATTCATGTATGGGCGTGTATTTGTTTTGCACACACACACACACCCGTAGAGCGCATACGGACACATCGAGCTCCATATTTCATGGGATGGCAATCTTTTGGCAAAGCAGTTGCTAAAACAATGGGGCAGCAGCTGCGAGCTGCTCAGAAATCTGCCATAAATCTCAGACATTTCCACAATATGTGCGCCACCAGCCGCCCACCTTGCTTAAGAAATATTACATGAAATGCGAAAAGTATCGCTCAATCGCCTGATAACCCATTTCCCATCCCATCCCATCCCATCCCCAGCCCCATCCCCCTCCGGAGTCCTATCTCCATCAACTTTGCCAATTCCATTGCTATTTTTTCCGTGTGTTTCCTCTTTTTTTTATGGCGATATAATATTTTATTGCATACCTTTAGACATTTGAATGTTTGCAGAGTACCCTTCGCTGGCTCCCGCGCTGTCAGCGTCCATGTCCTGGCTGGCAGGACTCGGGCACGTTTCTTCACCCTTTGTTTTGTGGTGCTTTTCGGTACGTTCTGGCGCGCCTGCCTCGAAATGTGTAAATTTGAGTTGCTTGTTGTGTTTTGTCGTTGAAATTGCTCAATTTGAGGGAAGGACGATTCGAGGGAGCCGTCCTGGCTCCCTCTGCCGCACCCGCATTATTTTGCTGTTTGCTGTTGCCATGCATTTGACAAAGGTAATAAAATGGACCTTTAGCTTTTGGCACTAGATTCCATTTCTAATTCTGCGACTGCGACTGCGTCTGCTCCAGCAACAACACCAACAACACCAACAACATCAGCTCCTGCGGATGTTTCTGTTTGTTTTCGGTTCTCGGTTCTCTGCTCGGTTCTCTGTTGTTGTTTTTATTTGGCTTTGCTTAGCATTGTCCTGCTCTCGGCTATGGAATTGTTTGCCTATTTTTGGCTTGGCAAACATACTTTCGAGCTCATTTCCGCCAGCAGTCGCTGCATTTGTTGGGCTGTTTTACAAAACCTTTTATGTTTCATGGCTAAATGGTCTGTTTGTGTTGAATTTAATAAGCGAAGGTCGCTTAAAGCGCTAAATAGCATTAAACATAAATGAGGCAGCTGAGGAAGAGGAGGGAATAGATTGGATTAGCCTCGCCAATTCATTTAAATAGTGCTTGTCTGGCCGGACTGTAGGGAATAGCTTCCCTAAATCCTCAACTCCATCTGTTCTCAACACAAATGTCATAGCTTGCAATATTATTTAAATAGAATTATGGAGCAGTTTTAAGCATATTTGTACGTAGTTTCTGGAGTCTCCCACAGTTTGGTTTTCAATTTAATTATATTTTTGTTTTTCTGATGACCTGCTTCCGTTTTTTGCTTTGTGTGGCCAAAATTAAGTGTGACGAGCTGGCATGTTTTTCCTTTCTTGTTGTTGTGGTTGTTGTTGTTTTAAAAACAATTTTTAACTAATCCCCCACAGTTGAGAATAACAACAACAACAACAACAACTGTATGAGTGTAGATCCAATTCTGTAGCCATTTGCTTGAATGAATGGCAACAACTGGCAACTGTTTGCAAACTGAAATGAAAATCTATTTGTCGTCTGTTGTTTTCTCTTTCCTTCTTCTGTCTCTGTCGAATTGTTGTTCGCTTTTATTTTCTTATAATTGTTAATCATTAAAAAAAAATGATTTTGTGTTTCAATTCGCAAAAGATTTCATTCTATTTCCGTGTACAAAATACAAATCGAAAGCAACAAGTGACGTCACTCAAGCACACACACACACATATATATATACGAGTACACCCGCCATATATAAAAAATGCTCACAAAAATACACCGAAGAAACAAAGTTTGAATATATATGTATGTATGTATGTAGTATGTATGTATATAGTAAGCATGTATGAATATAAAAATAGTCGAGAAAAGTCGGCCCTTCGTCCAAGGGTCGTTGGAGCGAGTGAGATAAGGAGAAAGCGAATAAGTCGCCTAATCGCCGAATAGTTTCTTGCCCAGATCCATCATCCTGTGGTTGCGACAGACGCGCAGGGCATCAGCCTTCTTGAGCACAGCCACCACCTCGGCATTGACGTCCACCAGCTGGGAGAGGAAGTCCTCGTATGCGGACTTCACATTCGCCTGCAGTGTGCCGATCTTAACCTTCTTCAGGGTCTTGATAATGCCCTCGGCCCAGCCAGATTCCAGAGCGAACTCGGATAGCCAAGGGACCAGGGGCAGTACGCCACACATGGTCTGCATGCCGAGGAACCAGTTCTCCGATATCTCCGACCAGTGACCCTTGTAGGCAATGGACACAACCAGCGCTGTGGGGTCATTCGATTCGTCAATGTTGTAGGCATCCCAGAGGAAGCGAATGGTGGCCTGTATGTAGCGGCAGATGGAGAAGTCGTTCTGCTTGACCTTCTTGGACTGCTGTTTGAGTAGCAAAAGGCCCAGCACTGCCAGATTGCCGTGAATGACGAGATTGTCGGGTGTGTCCTTCAGCTCGGGCAGATTCTCGACCACAAACTTGAGCAGATTGGCAAAGGTGGGCGAGTCTTCGGCTTTCTTGGGCTCCAGGACTGTGAAGTTCATCAGTATGTTGCAAAGGGAGACAATGGCGGCACGTGCCTCCTTCATTTCCTCCTGCTGCTGGGGAGTGGGTATCGGATCGGGCTCGTTCATGCGCTTCAGGCGCTCAGCACGCGGTATGGGCGGCCGCTTCCAGTGGGCAATGCTGAAGTACAGCTCCAGCGATTCGACGAGCACCTCGTCCTGCTTGTGGGTGAAGAGTACGCGTCGGGCCTCGTCCTCGACAGCGAAGTGGCAGAGTGCTGGCAGCATTATGCGCAGTACATCGACGGGCGCCTCACCCTCGCGCGGACCTGCTCGCCAGGCCTTCAGCTCGTGGAAGGACTCGTTGCCGATCTTGAGCATAAAGGGTAGAAGCTTGTAGATGGCCGGACGCATAGCCGTTGTCTCCTGAGCCAACCAGGCGGACAGAATACGCACAATGGCGAAGATGAAGGCCTTGTCCCGTGGACTGCCATTGTCCTTGATCTTGTCGTTGGAAACACGTGTCAGCACAGCCATCACCTGGTTGAAGGCGCCCTTCAGCGCCGTATACGTCGTCTGCTTCTCCTTGGGCTCCATATCCAGCTGATCACTCGCCATGTACTCGATGCACTGCTCCAGTATGACGAAGCAGCAGGTGAGCAGATCGGCCTGCTTGAAGGTCGTCTCCAGCTTCTTCTCGTCCATCTGCATGCGCACCTCAATGGCCGCCAGCTGGAGCAGCATGAGGAAGAACTGCTTCTGGTCGTCCATGAAGGCCCATTGAATGCCCAACACTTGCAGGGTGGTGGCTATCAGATGCAGGGCCGGATCGCGCTGCTTGGGACCAATCTTGGCCTTCAAAATGTCGCCGCAGCCCTTGAAGAGACTCTCCGGCCAGATTTGACCCTCGAGCGAGTTGACAATAATTTCACGCCTGCAGGTGATCAGTATGTCGGCCAGGATGCGGCAGAGCTCGTACTTGCGCTCCGTGTGATCCGTTTCCATGTCCAGAGCAATGCGCTGGATGAGCGCATGGAAGGCGGTGGGATCCTCCGGCCACGAGGTGGAACCAAACTTCTTCACCAGCTGCACGATGAGGTGCAGAGCCTCGTCAGTCTGGAAGCTCTGCGCCGAATAGATTTGCGACATCTTGGGTATGGCGCCGGTGGCCAGGAGAGCCTGCTGGCCCGGCTCATAGCTGGCAATGCTCTTCAGGCAGCTGTAGGCCTCGCTGACCACAATCAGATTGTCCTCGTAGTCATCGTCGTCGGCCTGTTCGACAATTTCCAGCAGCGTGGGGATGGCATCGATGATGTCTTTGTGCGTGGCGAGCTCCTCCTCCTGGCAGAAGCACGTCAAGATCGAGAGCGCCACACTCTTGTACACCAGTGGTGGGCAGTCGTTGGGCAGATCCTTCGAGACGAGCAGCTTGCGCAGAAAAGGGAAGCCAATTGCCTCAAACAACAGTTTCTTGCCCTCCGTATTGCAATCCTTGCCCTTCACCAGCTTCGTGACCATGAACAGGGCCGCGAACTTTTCCGTATCGCTGCGGGTCCCCTTCAGCAGGTTGGCGCACTTACGCACGGGCTCCGGAACATCCGCCATTTTGAATGCAACTCACGCTTCCTCCTTTCCTTCCTTCTCCCCTTCCCCTATTCCTCGTTACTGTTCCAAGTGCGTTTTTCTTTTATGGCCAAATGACGGCAGCTCTATCTATTTACAGTGTCTCTATATATGTGCGGCCGATACACTATATGTATATACAGTTTTTATGTGCGGTATATGTAGGTCTGTCTATCTTGGGGCTCTATAAATAGAACTCACACTTTCACTTGGCTACACTTTCCCGTTGGTCGTTTGCGCTTCACCCGCGGCTCGATCTGTACGTTCTGTTCACGTTCCGTGTGTTCTTCGCTCGACCACGCACTCTCGCGCACTGATCGGGCCGATCGGGCCAATCGGCCCAGTAGTCCCCATCGGCCTGCCATGGATACGGTCGCTCGCTCTGCTTCTTCGTTTTCCAAACCAGGAACGGCTGCAGCTGTTTCTTGGACATGGCCGAACCAAACCCACACAAATTTCAGTTTTCTATTCATACATATGCTTGAGATTCACAGTTGACTCTCGATAAAATAAACCGAGTGGTTTGGATTATTTAAAATGGAGTGTAGAAAGTAAATGTGCAAATAATTTCGAGAAGTGCAATAATTCATTTGTATTTTGTTATGTTTGAATTAATTAAATTATTTAATTATCTTTAATTTGAGTGAGACAAGTGAGACTGTTGGCATTTGAAAATTTTGACTAGCTGAAGAATAAACTCCACAATATTGAAGAAAGTTTATAAATCAAAAAATGCTCGAACAGCACAAATCCGTCTCCTTAAACTGAACTGGCCACTATAGCACTTTTAAAAGTGATTGGAGTGGGGGTACTATCCAGTATAAAGACACAAAACCCGACTTACCATTTCATCGAACGATTTCTGCGGATATGGAAGAGGAAAAAAGCGTAGATCAGCTTCTTTTTCATTGATCAGCAATGAGTAGGCCTCTTGGCTTTATGAACTCACAGAAAGACAAAAACTGGAGATTGTGAAATTAAATAGCAACTCATTAAATACTCTCGGTGATAAAAAAAAACGGACCTTTAAAAAACATTGGGTAATAATAGCATTACAATCAGGGCTCGATCCAGTCATCTTAATCTTACCCCACATAAGTTCCTAAAACTTAGATGTTAAATTATATAGTTTTTGTCGATTTGGATTCCTCTTCATACTATTCCAAATCATTTAGTAATAATATCGCCATATATATACCTTCCTCACTTATTTTGCAGTCTTTTCAGATTTACTGAGCCCATACAAGTATATATTAATTATTTATTTCATTTAATCAAATTGAATTTATCACCTTTTTCGAATTCTTATTATAAATTTAATAACATTAATTGTAGAGTTCCTAAAACTTTTCGATTTGGATTCCTCTTCGTACTATTCCAAATCACTTAATAATATCTCCATATATATACCTTCCTCATTATTTTGCTGTACTTTCAGATTCACTGAGCACATATATATATTAATTAATTATTTCATTTAATCAAATTGAATTTATCACCTTTTTCGAATTCATATTATAAATTTAATAACATTAATCGTAGAGTTCCTAAAACTTTTCGATTTGGATTCCTCTTCATACCTTCCTCATTTATTTTGCAGTACTTTCAGATTTACTGAGCACATATATATATTAATTAATTATTTCATTTAAACACTGAATTGAATTTATCATCTGTTTTCAGTTCATATTAAGAACTGTATAACTTTAATCGTAGAGTTGCTACAAACTTAGATGTTCAATTATATAGTTGTTGTCGATTTGGATTCCTCTTCATACTTCATATTTTGTAGTACTTTCAGATAATTAATTATATCATTTAAAGAATTAAACATTTAATTGAATTTATCATCTCTTTCGAGTTCATATTTAAAATTTTATAACATTAATCGTAGAGTTCCTAAAATTTAGATGTTCAATTATATAGTTTTTGTCGATTTGGATTCCTCTTCATACTTTTCCAAATCACTTAATAATATCTCCATATACTTGTATATACCTTCCTCACTTATTTTGCAGCACATTCAGATGCACTGAGTATACATATTGTTGTTATTATTTACAAAAGTTTATTTGGGAATATATGCTTTATGCAGAAGCTCTACTGTACTGTCAACCGAAAAGAGTGTGCGATCCGACCATCTCCATCTCTCACATTGCATCTCGCGCTCTCGGCGCTCAGTGACGTGAGTCGCATTGTGTATAATTAGAAAATGATTTTCCACTTTTCCGACTCCTCGTGTTTACATTTTCGTGCACTGCACGGCGCGGCTCGGTGTTCTGCGCCTTCTGGCTGCATTTGTTCCAGAATGTATTTACACATCGCGCTTTCGTCGCCGGCTGCTGCTTTTGGGTGTTGGCCAATGCAGCGGGCCATTTGACTTTCCTTCGCTTTTACAAACGTGGAAGACACACACACCCCGCTACCTAGAATTCCCCGTGTTCGGTTTTATACGTGCGAATACATACTTGTATAGTGATATGTAAGTATATGAAAAATATATGTATTTTCGTATAAATAGCGGCCGTGCATGCCGTGAAAATGCGCATTGAAATTATTTATTTAAATTAAATATGTGTGTGTGTGTGTGTGTGTGTAAATATAGAGTATACATGCATGTGCATGTGTGTGGTGTGGTGTGCATACATAGACATTATTTGTGTATTTAAATTAAATATGCTTTCTGCTCTTTCATTTCATTTAGGGTCAATGAATTAAATTGTACGTTGAAATTGCTTTCAAACTCAATTTATTGCATATTTTCGCTTTATTTCAATGCATGCGATTGCGATAATTAAGGAAATGTGCGAATTACAAATTAACAACTTAGGTGATTTCTGTTCTGTTCAAAATGTAATCCAAATCCGTAAACAATATTTACAGAGTTTAATGCCAAGGCTTAGAGCAGCAACGTGTTCTGCTTGTTTGCAGACATAATTGGCGAATCACTGAATAAGTAAAACGCTTCATTTAATTTCCACAATATTATTCAATGAATTAAATAAATTAATTTGGCTTGAAGAGTACACGTACAAGTATGTATGTGGAAGCCGAGTTATTTATTTCACACTTCTAAGTAAATTATGCATTTGCTTGTAGAGCGGTGAGAAAAATTAAAAATTAAGCCAGTTTCAGTTGATAAACTTTATTGAAATCAATGTTTAATACCATTTAGTTAAGCAGTTGCTGTTAAATCAAAAATGTGTAAATCGGTTGAACATTCCATATTACATAAATATATATGAAAAGTATATAAACAATTTAACATGTTATACGTTTATTTTTTGGAAAATCGAAAATAGCTGCTCTTTTCGAATTCATGTTGTGTATCTCTCAGATTTATAGATCGAAATAGCGTCAAAGTCACAATTCTGCGTCTTTTTGGGGCAATATTATAAACGAATACATATGTATATACATACTTTTTTTTTTGTTTTTTGGCGATTGTACAACGCTGTCCAATATATCAAACATTTTTTAATGAGCCATGAGATTTGTCACAATTTTAATTTTGTACGCCTGTAAGTCAGCGAAGAAATAGAATTGCCAAAACTTGGCCTCTGCGATTCAAAAGTCTATGAAATCGCAGAAGTCAAGGGCGAAATAGCTCAGAAATGTCCGAAAGCACTTGTTTATTTGTAGCCAAATGGCTTTTGTTTTGTTTATTTCTGTTAACTCATACACTGGCCTACACAATCAGAAAACGAGTTGCTGCAGCCTCTAAATGACTTGCTTATACATACTTATATATTTGATATGATTTTTGAAATAATAATAATAGAGCTACTTATTATATTAGAGAATCTAATCAAGCTGATCAGAAAGTCATTTTAATATACTCGTTTATATATATTTATATTATTTATCGTTCTATTCTTTATTCTTTATTTAAGATCTGTCTTGGGTTGGCTAATTATTAAATTTTGGGAGAACTCTGACTTCGATAAATGGCGAACTTCTAAAGTTGTTCTCCTTAGAATATTCAATTTATTTGAAATTATTAAACTTTTTTTTCAAAAAATAAAAAGAATATTTATTAGTTGGTTTCTAAAAATTACTTTTATGTCAAAACTGAAAATCTTTTGAAATATAATCACCTTTTATTTAAGCAATTTGTCTATATATTTACTTCAAATCTGTTTTATTTTAACTTTAAATTGTAAATTTGAAGAAATAATCTCGTTCAGCATAAATTTCATAATTTCTAGCAACAACTAAATAAACAAAGAGTATGTTTAAAAATAAAGACAATTGTTGTTTTGTTTTGTAAGGTTAATGAGCATGAAAAGTGTATTCCAGCTAATGTGTAGAGTAATTCAATTGCATTTGATTTTGTTCAGCTTTAAATCATGCGATTAGATTTTACATTTAAGCCTGCACCCATTTGCAATAAATAAGTATGTTTTAAATTTGTGTAGAATGATTAACCGGTCGAATACTCTGAATGTGTTTGGAGAATTTTATTTATTCTGGCATATGCATTCGGGCAAAACATTAACATAATTTAAATGAATATTGAAATGCAAAAGCGATGCGCAGTCGTGTTGTCTGTTGGCGAGCAAATCCATGAAATTAGCATGCAAGAGTTATAATCAGTTTTAGTTTCGCAGCGGCAAACAGCAAATATTGCACAATATCGCACTTTACTCGCTTCCATATACGAGTGCATACAATACTATATATTTTCGTACTATATAGTATATATGGAAGCAGTACTTACTTGTATATTGAACGGCATCAGAGAGAGCAGGCCTGCCTGCCTGTCGGCCGCCCTCATGCAAACAAGTTCGTATCTCGCAGCGCTTATGTGGAACGCATATCCGTCCTCCCCTGTTTGCGAATGTTATTATTATTTTAAATGGATACTGGTAGTGGGTGTGGGATGGGGATGGAATGGAGTATCCATGGCACACGATTTCCATCCACTATACGGGCATAGTCAGGTGCCCGGTGGCTGGGACAACAGCACTGCGGTAATTCGAGCATTTTATATGCCCTTGTTAGCGTTTTGATAATTGGGTTATAACGAAATTTATTAATTTTTACATTTCGCTAATTATGGACATTGAAAATGCATGGTCATTGATATTAAATATAACCGTGGAAATATGGTGGCTCTTTGAATATCTGGCCTCTGGGCGGAATCTGTTCAGTAGGAGGGCAGGTGGTTCGTGTTCGCCTGCGGCTGCTCGGTGGTTGCTCGCAGGTGGTTGTTGTTGATGCCGGCGGTCGTGTGTTTGTTTAAGTGCTTGCGGCTCGTTATGGGCGTTTAGTTATGGGCTGCTTTCAAATTGGAAA